TTCGACCGAGGGCGTCTGTCACGTGAGTCCGATCGCCTTCGGGACCTGTCTGGACAAAGCAAAATCAGCAGGAATGACTATATATGCAAATCGTTTCGGTAAGCTAACCGTTCCGGCTACAGAGCCTTAGGCCATACAAAAACGCCAGCCTTCAACTAGTAGCCGCCACGTCCATTCACCAAACAATTGGAAAAATCTGTCTGTCCTCTTAATGAAGAAATGGTTGAGCGTCAGTAATTACGGCCTTCTTTACCAGTTGTTCGTCTTTCTCTGTCTTTCTTATCATCTTTGAACACTTGGTGGACATAGAAGACTTATTATTTCCGTGTTGGAAATCCTTCAGGCCTTGATGGTGACCGCCTTCGGGATCTCGATCTAGACGAGCTCCGCGGCATGGAGCCTGAGCGAAACTTGGCACCAAGAGCCAGTGCCAAAATCGAGACTTGATCGATCAGCCGGGACACGGGCTCAAAACAACCAATTCCTCAAAAACCGAATGCCCAAAGGGCGAGCAAGCACCAGAAGGAAGCCCGAACACCGAATCCCGAATCGATATAGTTTGAGACAGCTACTTACTTATTAAGAACCGCGGGGGGGGTTTCCGAACAACCAAACCAGCCCAACAAGCCCAACCTTAAAACAAATGCAGCTTGACGCGGCCAGTGTTCTTTTAGAGCGCAAGCCAAGGTTCACGAGCCATAGTATAGGAGGTGGGCAAGCCACCACATTCACCAAAGAAAAAACAAAAACATTCCAAAAAAGGAGCCCCCCTCCATCCCCCTCCCAAGCCCGAAGACGAAAGCCGATTACCGACCAAAAGCCGAATTTCTTTACTTCGAGTGGTCCCCACCCTACCATGACACTTCAATCTGACACATTTTCTGGCATGTGTTGAACCATTATTCGGCATTCTTTCTGGCATACCTTCTGACACTCTATCCGGCATATCTTCTGACATTCATTCTGGCATATCTTCTGGCACTCTTTCTTGCATATCTTCTAGCATCTCTTCTGACATTCTTTTTGGCATATCTTCTGGCATTCTTTTTGGGCTTCTATCTGGAATATGTTCTGACGTGCTTTCTGGCGTTCTAGAGGTCCGTCCGGAGCTGGCGGTTGAGGTCCGGCGGACACTGCCATCCTGCACTTGCAGTTGAGGTCCTGAGGAGGAGGAGAAGGAGGAGGAGGAGGACGAGGCGGAGGAGGAGAAGGAGGATGTAGCTGACATAAAATCTAACAACCCTCACCTGAGAGGTGGTGAAATCTGACTTCAATTTTGAAGGAAGATCTCTGGAATATCAATGGATGTACCATCAAGAATTGAAGAACAACACAGAACCTTGATTTGCAATGTAGATGAAGAACACCTTCCACGAGGCGTTTCTGGGCATTGCATCTGGCTCTGCCAAGTGGCTGTGAATCGACCGCAGCCGTGGCCGTCTTTGAGCCAAAGCATCTTTGTGAACAGAGAGGACATAACAGAATAACAAAACAATCACAGTAATAACCGTTGCAAAACATTCATAACAGCCATGAGCAAATTGAATTGTCACGTCGAGCACGCTGAACATTGGAGATCTCTGAAAGGTCGGAGTTCAAGTGGGCTTTTTGTTTTGTAACCGTTGATCAACCGTGAGATTGGCATAGATTGGACACTTTCATGGAAAGCCGCAGAATCTGGGGGCACTGCATGTCAACTCTGTCGTCGTATGGCTGCGTACCTGGGGATGCACGTGCCAATGGGGTGAAATTTGGCTTGGTTGAGGGCCGCACAGTGGTAAACCAATTTGCGAGCAGTCCGGATCAGCTACCAAACAGGATTCAAGCATGAGACAAATCTTTCAATACTTTGGCATATTTGCTGCACTTTTGCACCAAGCAAGCAATCCTGTCTGAACAGAAAAGAACGCCAGGCTTTCCAAAAGTGGTGAGCTTCAAGCTCCGGAGGTGGCGCTGACTGCATTCACTGCCCCAAGGACCTTTTCCAACCATTGGTCAACGAAGCTCTCACACAAGTAAGAGCCTAAGTCCGAGCAGCCAAAAACGAGAATTCGAGTACCAAAGCAGCATGCATCGTACATGTGCTCCTTGTGTTTCTCAGCCAAGACGCTATTGGTAGGAAGTGTTGTTCCTGCGATATTGATGCTATGCAAGCAGCCCTTGATGGTGAGCTGCTCAGCACCAGGAAGGTGAGCCCATTCCACCGGCACGAGACCGTCTCCAGTGAGATTTCCCACACCACCCAGGGCCTGGTAGCTGTTCCAAGCAGTGGACTCCGGCGATGGCGACCTGGGATCACCAAAACAAATCGCTTTGGGGTTTGAGAACTCCCTTGAAAGTCCTTTGAACATACAGTATTTGAACTACGTATCGTTTCTTTGCGCGATTTGAGGGGTACAGTAACCAGTAGTGACTAGTCAGCAATACAATATACTGATGTCTAAGACCTCAGCGCCCACCTACTGGTAAGGAGGTATAGCCGGTATAGCAGAATGCGAGAGGCTGGATCAGCTCAACGATAGGTATGTTGCCCTCAATCTTCTGTCCAACCACAGCATCGCCCGCGATCGACACCTCAGAGTTGTTGAGCAAGGATCGACACACAATGGCTGCGTGCTTTGCTTGTGACTGGCTCAGCCGAGTGGCATAAAACATATCATCTGAGAAGTATGCTCCAGGATGGGCTTTGTTCAAGTTGCGGAGGCATCCAAAACTTAGCATCGGCAAATCTCAGCAGTATCCAAGGCAAACTGGCTTGAGACTTGTTCCTCATGTGGGTGAGTTCTCGGGCGTATGGGTCAACAATGGTCAACATGTGATGATGGACTTTCATCCCCTCCAGGCAAGCTGCGTCATATCCATTTGCCCCTCTGGGGGGGGGCTTGTGCGGGGTTCCCAATGTCACTAGCCCTTGCACATGCTTCTGCGTCCATTCCTTGGTGTTCAGGCAGTGACACTGGCAAACAACAAAGCTGCATTTCATCAGCAATGTACTTGCTCATCTTGCATTTGCTTTGTCAACGCCCTTGGTTTTGACCCTATTCTGCAAAACCTGTGGCAGGGTACTATGGCCAAGTTTCGCGCCCTTCTCTCTCAAGCACTGCACGCCCAAGCCAGCCTCCAGCACTATGGCCGACCAGAACCGCTGCTTTGCCAGTAGATCTGAAGCTGTCTTCAATTGCTTCTTGTGTGAGATCCAAATACCACTTATACGCACCTTGAGCTGTTCCATTGCCAGCGCGCGCATCATCATCAAGAAGGATCCCCACGAAAACACGCAGCCAGTCACTTCGCTTCACTGGCACTACTGAGGTCAACAAATTCCGCCTTTCTAAACATGCTCTTAGTCCGACTGCTTCATCTTGACCCAGTGGCTCCTCAACACAATGGAGGAAGGTACATATCACGACACATTAGAACGTAGTTGAAGCCAACATTCAAACACTGAATTGTTTCTTGACTTTGATCATAGCCGGTGACCAACATGAACATAACAACGCAACTGGGGCAAGCATCTGAATAGTCTCGGGCATCATTACCGAAGCCAGGGAGTAGCACCACAGGCTGTGGCTCGTTGAAAAGAATAGCAGGCTTGAGTGGTGGTGCGCCATCCAATTGCATTGGCCAATGGTCAACGGCCTCTCTTCGAGGTTGAACAAGTTGGGCCAAGGCTTCTCCTGCATCAATATCCCATTGCTCAAAGTATGTTTGGATGCGCCCGTCTGTTCCTGGTGAATACCTGGTTTGGCCCCCAATGTCAATGCGTGGTGACCAGGGAAGCTGAATATCTCCAACCATTCGCCACTTGGCGAAAACTTCTCCATTGTCAAGCTTGATGTCCCGGAGGATGCATCTCCTCTTTTCCTTTGGAACAAGCGTATCCACAATCGGAGCCAGGCTACGCATGTTGGACTGGAACTTTGAGAGCCCTTGGAAAGATATAGTTGGATCTGTGAATGAGCAGTCCTCATCATACAGCTCAAGATCAATGTCTCCAGACCACAGGTACTGTCTTTCTTCGAAGTCAGCTCTGATGCCTTCTAGCAATTGCTGCGATCCAATTTTATCAAATCTTCTTTGAGGAAGTGGTGGGGCTTCTCCGCCCATCACGCCATTCACAAGGCCGGTCAAGCCTGACAAGGAATTGAATGCCATTTAGGCACTGGCCCTGCATGGCCTAACGGCACCCTGAAAGTGAGGAAGCCCCGCGTCCACCAGAATTGGGCGCCGATCCAGCCCTCTATATAAATTTGAACATGCCATTTAAATCATCCAAGGCTCCATTTACTACGGATTTCGTCCACTCGGGAGAGGAATCATAGCTGGAGCGCTCTTGCCGAGCCTGTCTTTCCAGGCCTGCCGCAAGAGCATGCCCAGAAAACAAGAATCCACACCGGAGACCAAATAGAACAACACTATAGTTCAATTATTTGCACGTTGCACATTTAAACCTCTACAGTAATGATTTCTAATGGTTTCTCCTTCAATGTTGCAGGCTCATGCTTTCGTTCGCCCCACGTCTATTCCTGGGAGCTTCTCAGCGCCTCGTAGACGGAATGGTCTAGACCGAAAAGAATAGCGAGATTCCACCCAAGTAAAACCCATTCTCAAAGTTGCAACAAGCAAACAAAGGATGAAAACTGACCATCCGCGGGCCGCCATGGCTTGCAGCGGCCGAAAACTTGTCAAAAATGTGGGAAGATCCGCAGTCTTGTCAGAGTTTATGTCAAACTTTCTTGCATTCATTCTCTGTGGTCTGTGGTCTGATGCGCAGCACCACTAAAGTCTGAGCATACATGGAATTTACAGCCTTACATTGAGCCACGGTGGGTGGCGATGGCGGCACGGCACACACGACAAAAAGGCCGTGAAATTGAAGTTTAGTCTTCGCTCACCTCTGCTGTTGCAGTGTCACTACCTTGTTTGTATACTGTGACAGTGCATATGCAAAGGGGCGATTTCAGCGCAACAAGTCACTTGGGCACTATTAAATGCCACACTCACTCTATATAAGATTGTTGTGGAGCCGAGACACCTCAGGTAAAATGCAATACAATGCAATATAATGCCCCTACTGTATGGCATGCTCTGGTCATCGCCCTACTCGTCCACCAAGAAGAACAGAATCGCATGAATGGCTAAACAACCAGTATCTCAGCACCTTCAAATAGTTGCCCGAAGCTTTCCATTTGCATTGCGTCGATTTCTGTGGTTGTGCGTCTTCCAATGTCACTTCATCCGTGACACTATTTGAGTAGTTTCAACAATGAAGTGGAGGGCTTCACCGGTCTCAAGAATCGGTCATGTCCAGCGGTGCTCCGCGGTGCTCGGGCCCTGCTCGGGCATCCCACTGCAAGACATGAGAGCATAGTTATCCATAGTTCATAGCGGATTTATGTGGCAAACCAGTGCCCAAATTCTGATGCGTTGTCCTACGGCAAAGTGTTCTCTGATGATAATAAGGCCTGGGCTAAGCATATCTTGAGAACTGTGGGTGCTTCTGACTTCGGGCGCCATGTAGAAGGCCTGCATTTCAGCGATGGAGCTGCCCAACGCCGGTGCCAAAGCCCGAGGCCACGACAGTACCAACCTCGTCAAGTTTCCGGACCGTGGATGAAGCGAAAAACAAGTGGATCACACCGCATTAAGACATGAACATAATGAAAGCACAATGCAAGTGTCACGACAACCTCAATGCTCGGTAAAATGACACACTTCGAACTTCGAACTTGGGTTTTCAGTTAGACTCAATTGCCACGTTGGGAAGGAAGGTGAGGGAACGGAAAGGCGCATAAGTCCGCAAAAACCGTATGGTTGAACATTGTTTCCGAGTGGCCTCAAGATCGATCTGTACAGTCGATGCGGTGACGAGCACAGCTGAGAAACGCGGTGGGAAACCTGTTTATGGGAGGAAACATGCAACCACCATGAATCAAAAAAGCGGATT